TTTCGTGATCGCGGTTGCTGGATTTCGACGAGTGCGGATGTCGGTGGAAGTGGTGATTGCGCAGATTTTTGCGTTACAGATCTTCGCGTTACCGATTATCGTGGTACCGAAATGAGATTCCCCGCTTCCCAATTTTATTTTTCCCGCCACCGACTTTCGCGTCGGACTCGCTACCGAATTCCATGACCCCGCCACCGACTTTGCATTTCAACGCGCAGAATTGCCACGGAATCCCACGTCACCCACGCACGGAGAGATGGTGTCAGACCCGTGGCCCCCCCGACTGTTGTTAGCATTCGGATTAAGATGGTGTTCAGAGGCATAGTTCCCTGGGCAGGTTGTTTGCAGGGCCACATACATGTGGCACGTGTGTGCCCGGGCTCATACAGGAAACTGAAGGGTCGTTTGGAGCAGGAAGACACCATGACGGCGGGATCGGAGATGGAGAAGGGGAAATTGGCGCGGCACCGCCAGGGCGTGCCTAAGAGAAGGGGAAGAGGCAGGAGGTGAACGCAGAATAATCTGAGATCGAGGAAGAGGCCCCCCAAAGGATTGGGGATCGAGCAGGAGGATCGACGAGGGCGATGCCTCTCCGAGGTCAGCGTTGCGAGGATGTCTCAGGCGAAAGTGGCCTGACCACCTCAGCTCAGGGCATCTCGGAACCCAGAGTTGCGAGGACGTTTCAGGCGAGAGTGGCCTGAACACCTCAGTTCAGAGCATCTCGGAACCCAGAGTTGCGAGGGTGTCGCAGGCGAAAATGGTCAAACCACCACGGGACAGGGCATGGGCATCTCGGATATTGACGTTCCTATGTGTTTTTGGACCATGGCGTCACGATCTGCGTGATCGGTGCATTGTAGGTGGTGTGTGTGTGTGTGTGTGTTCTGTTTGTCTAGCGTGTGATGTGTTGGGTGTGATTTATGTTTCTGAGTGCGCATGCAATTCTGAGGCCCCAGGAGACCCAGGAGGCCCCAGGCGGCCTCAGGAGGCCCCAGGAGAGCCCAGGAGGCTCCAGGAGGCCCCAAGAGGCTCCGGGAGGCCGCAGGAGGCCCAAGGGGAGGCCCCAGGAGGCCCCAGGAGGCTCCCAGGAGGCTCCGAGTCGGGGTCTGGGGTACCTAGGTACGTCGGGGCTCGACTGTCGGATGATGTCTCAGGCGAAACCGCCATTCTTTGAGAATCGGGGTCTAAATCATTGAAATTACATTGTGTTTTTGAAGGTCTTATGTTCGAATGTAGGAATTCCCATGTGTTGTTGGACCCTGACGTCGCGATCTGTGTGAGGGGTGCCACCGATTTTCAGAATGTCGAGGATGTCCCTAGCGAAACGGCCAGAAAACTCATGGACGCGGCGCAGCCTTCAATTCATCGCCTCTGAGCGTTACTCCCTCAGAGAGGTGCGTATGAGAATACTAAGTGTCGGGCGCTGCCCCCCTGACTCTGGTTAGCATTCGAGTTAACATGGCGTTCAGAAGTATACTTCCCTCAGCGGATTGTTTGTACTGGGCCATATGTCCTCTGTATCGGCCGCTGCTGGATCCGGAGTTGGTCGGGGGCCGTTGTCTCCCAGTGTCTCCCATTGTCCCCTACTGTATATCCCCATCCGCATCTTTCATCCATGTCTGTATCACTCTGCCTCAAACTCGATCCCTTTTCCCTCCCGATCTTACCTCCCCGACTCTATCCCTATCCCTCTCTCTCGATCCCTATCCCCACATCCCTGTCCCAATGTCCTCAGCCCTAGACCTGTAAGCCCGATATCCTTCCCCCTATCCCTATTTTCCCTTCCAGGTCGCCCCATCCTGGCCCCCCATCGAGACTCCTCGTTGTGGCCTCCACCGCAAATGTCTGAAGCTGCTCCGAGTCAGTACCCGCAAGAGCGTCATCTTGTGATGGGTCGCCCCCAGCAGTCCCGACGCGTTCCCCAGGGTTGGCCTCTTACGCTCCGTGTCCCATTGCCGACGGCCAAGGAATCCGAAAGCGACCCCAAGAGGCAGGAAGAGGCGCGACACTTCTGCCTCGGCTTGACCAAGATGCTGGATGTCTGGGCCACAGCACATCTGGCAACCTGTTCCCTCCTCCTCCTCCTCCTCCTCCTCCTCCCCCTCCTCATCCTCCTCCTCCTCCTGATCCTCCTGATCCTCCTCCTCCTCCTCCTGATCCTCCTGATCCTCCTCCTCCTCCTCCTCCTCCTCCTCCTCCTCCTCCTCCTCTTCTGCCCTCGAGTAGAGGCCTGATGCGCTCGAGGCCAGGGGCCTCACGAGGGCCCCCTTGGGAGGCCCGAGGCGAGCCAGAGCAGCCTGAAACTTCGATGTTCGTTTCTCCTCCTGGCAGTGCGCAGGCTTCAAAGCTTCAGTCGGGCCTGTCCCTCCGCAGGAGGAAGATTCAAACGTAGTCCAAAAATAGTCTGTGGACGATTCTTTGATTATTTTTTGACCATCTGGGGGCATCTTCTGACTCTTTCTTATTTTTCGCCCAAAATCCACTGGGAGGACAGGCCCGACCTAATTCAAAGCCTCGTGTGGACTTGTCGCGAGCGGAAGGCCGCCGGGCGGCGAGGCAGTGACGACCAGCAGGCAGAGTGCAGCCCTGCTTTGAGGAGGAGGGGGCTCTGGGCTCCGAGTGGGGCCGGAGCAGGCGGGGTCGTCGGAGCATCGCGCCGCGTGGCCAATGCGTCGGCGATGTGGGAGCGCTTTGGAGCCCGATGCTCTGCATCCCGACGCTGCGGGTGCGGGTGCGTTGGCGATGCATCGGCGATGCGGTGCGATCCCCCGACCCCGTCCGCTCCCCCTTTGATGCTTTGGAGGCCACCGGAGGAGGAGGGCGAGAACGTACGTGCGGGTCGTCTTCCAGGCCTGGGCCGTCGCTGGCACATCCTAGGTCAAAGTCCGACTAAATTCCGCATCACCTGGCGTAGTCTGGCTTACTCTCGCTCAACGTCGATTAAGTTGGTTTACCATTGGGCTTAGTTCTTACGAAGACGGTCTTAGTTACATTCGCCGAGAATACTTGCGAAGACATTAACTTAATCGTTCTTACGCAGGACAGTGGGCCCTTTAATCGTTCCGGCGAAGATCTCCCAGGAGTTGTCTCCCGGACGGGCCTGGAATCGAGTCAGATCCGTTCCAGAGCGTTCCGGAACTTTCTCAGAGCGTTCCAGAAAGCGTTGAAAGCGGCGCCCGATACATCCTCCAAACCCGCCGATTTCCAGAGATTTCAGAATCATGTCGGTTCGATTTTGGTTTGATTCTACCTTCGTCTTCTACCCTGACGTGATCCTCTTGGCATCGCTCGGACGTGTGCGTTTTCTTTTCCGGCGAGTATCATCGAGGATCATATTTGATCATTTAGCTTCTAGCGAAAAAGACATGCACGACATCGAAGAATGCACGGGGCATGGACGTCCGAGCGATGGCGAGTCTTGATCTCGCGCATGGCGAGTCGTGCGCGGCCTGAGACACCGAGGGTCCCGCACCTGCGGCTGCGCAGGCAGGCGGGAGGGGGGGGGGGTGGGAAGGCAGGAGGCGCGCAGGTCCGCCGGGACCATCTGGCGGCTGCTGGCGCTGGCCCTGGAGGTCACGCGGCAGCACGGGGCGATGAAGTGGGACTCCGGGGGGCGTGCGCGGGAGGAGGAGGAGGAGGAGGAGGAGGAGGAGGAGGAGGAGGAGGAGGAGGAAGAGGAGAAGCAAGAGGAGGAAGAGGAGGAGGAGGAGGAGAAGGAGGAGGAGGAGGAGGAGGAGAAGCAGCAGGAGGAGCAGCAGAAGAAGGAGGAGGAAGATTCGCGTTTCGGTCTCCTCCCTCACTCCTTCACGGCCCGAGGAGGATCTGCGCCGGGGCCCGGATCGCCCTCTTCCCCCTCCTCGCATGGGACGTGCGCGCCTCGTCCCCCTCCTCGCGCCTCTTTCCTCCACCTCCTCACCCTCCTGTAGCAGGCGCGCGCCCGAGCACGAGGATCGAGAGCCGCCAGACTCCCTTCGCCGCCCCTCAAGCAGTGCGGCTCCCCCAGAGGGGTGGCCAGCTGACTGAGACAGCGGCCACTCCCAGGGGGGAGGGGTCTGCCGGCTGGGGCCTCCAGACTCCGCCTCTTTCTCCTTCTCCACCTCCTCCTTCTCCTCCTCCTCCTCCTGCTGCTCCTCCTCCTCCTCCTCATCATCCTCCTCCCCCTCCTCATCCTCCTCCTCCTCCTCTCCTCCTCCTCCTCCTCCTCTCCTCTTCCTCCTGCCCTCCTCCTCCTCCGTTTCCTACCCCTCCCTCCACTTACCTCCTCCTCCTCCTCCTCCTCCACCTCCTTCTTCTCCTCCTCCTCCTCCTCCTCCTCCTCCTCCTCTTCCTCCTCCTCCTCCCCCCAAGAGGTCGTGGGCCAGCGTGAGCTGGACGCTCGAGCAGCGGCCCGGTCGCGCGTGGGGGGGAGGCGTCCTGTCGGTGGGCCCCCCGCCTGGGGGTGGAACCCAGGCGGGGGAACAAAAGGGCTCCGATGGCGCCTCGTCGGATGGACGGCCCCCACCCGCACAATCGTCCTTCTCCCTCCTCTGTTCCTGACCTGAACCTCTCTCCCTCCCCCCTCCCTCAGTGGGTTGCGCGTCTCCTGCTCTCTCTCTCTCTCTCTCGCAGTGCTGCGCAGCGATCCCCACGGCAACCGCGCCGCGCTCGGCGCGCGCGGGCGCGCTTCCGAGCCCCGACCAGCTCCTCACACGCTGGCGGAGGCCCTTTCCAGAGGGGGGGGAGAGAGGTGACCATACACTGATCGAAAACATGAGGACGAAGGGGGGGAGTGGTCAGGGAGAGCGTGCCACTCACAGCGTCCGTGCCCCTCTGAACGTAGTACCTCAAAAGGTATTGTAGCGATGTACGTGCAATGCGCATGTTAGTAATCCTCCTCCTCCTCCTCCTCCTCCTCCTCCTCCTCCTCCTCCTCCTCCTCTTTCTCCTCCTCCTCCTCCTCCTCCTCCTCCTCCTCCTCCTCCTCCTCCTCCTCCTCGTCCTCCTCCTCCTCCTCCTGCTCCTCCTCTTCCACCGCTCTCCTCCCGCCGCGCAGGACCTGCGCCGGGGCCCCGGCTCGCCGCGCGGCTCGCCGCAGTCGGCCCCTCCAGGGTCGCCCCGCTGGCCGCCGCAGTCGCCGGGCGCTGCGGGCTCGCCGCGGGGCCAGCCGAGGCCCCGCGTGTCGCCTTTGTCGGCGCGCGGTCCGTTGGTCGGCCGGTGGAACGGTGGATCGCTCCGTCGGTCGGTCGATCGGTCGGTCCGTGGGCCGTCGGTGTGTTGGTCGGTGGGTCGGTCGGCTCCTCGGTCGGCTCCTCGGTCGGTCGGCGGGCCGTCGGTGGGTCGGTCAGCTCCTCGGTCGGTCGGTCGGTCGGTGGGTCGAGCTCCACTGAAACCTGGGAGTTGCAATCTTTTCACACCAGGCGTTTTCGCGCGGCGTCGAGCCCCAGGGCCATCAGAGAGCGATCCGGCCCGAGGAATGCTGCTGGAGGGTGGGGTCTGGGGCTCCGGTCGCGATTTCTCGCGATGTCGCAGTTTTTCCGCGACGTCGGATCTCAGGGGATCGGCCCGTCGGTCGATCCGCCGATCGGTCGGTCGATCCTCGCGCTGCGGCGAAGACCAAGGCGGCAGGGGTTTGAGCCATGCTCGGCCTCCATGGGCGCCTGCCAGGCCCCCCCGAGGCCCCGCCGGAGTCGGGGGGCGCCGTCGCAGGTGCGTCGGGCGGGTTGTTTGGGTCGGTGCGCCGCCCTGGACACCTCCAGGCTTCCCCCTCCTCCTCCTCCTTCTCCTCCTCCTCCTCCTCCTCCTCCTCCTCCTCCTCCTCCTCCTCCTCCGTCTCTGGCGAGGCGTTTTGGTGGAGTCCCGTCGGCCTCCGCGATGCTTCGGCTGCGTGGGGGGCCGCTTCTCGAGCCCGGGACAGTCAAAAATGGGTCAGTGGCGAAGGGCTACGCCCTGAGAGGAGCGGTCGGGACCTCCGGGGCCGCGGACTGAAAAACTCGCATCGGCGGATGGCAGGGCCCTTCAGTCCTGGACTCGCTGCCGTCGTCGCCGCGGACGCTGTCCATTCGAGATCAAGGGTTGGGCAACATGTGCTGCTGATTGTGAACGGCATGTGCTGTTGGGCATCGTGCCCATTTGTTCCGAACCAATTCCAGGCGCACCTGCTGTAGGAGGAAGAGGAGGACACCGACGAGGACGGGAACGTAATTCCCCAGAGTTCTTTGGAGACCACTGGAGGCCCCCAGAGGGCAAATACCAGTAGCACATAGACGCGTCGCAGAAGAATTGGATGAGCCCCCTGCTGGCGAAACTTAGCAACCACCTTCGATCCTTCTCGATCGATCCTCCCAGATGGCCTCCCCCAGAGTCAAGACGTTCAAGGAAGGACCACTTCGGGTGCTGGAGGGGCTTGGATCCAAGTCCTTCAATTTTATCTAAGTCGGGGGGCCTATTCGTGGCTGAGGTTCGCCGTGGCCACACCAGCCCATGCGCTGCTTGATGCCTGGAGGTGGCGTCTCGCCCAGACAGGGGGCAAGCCGCTGCGGGGCTTGCAGCGCCGCGAGCGGTGCCCCTGGTGGTGAGAGAGAGCCCGCAGCGGGTGGCCGCTTACCGCGCGATGCAGCCTCCCCATCTCTCCTCCTCCTCCTCCTCCACCTCCTCCTCCTCCACCTCCTCCTCCTGCTCCTCCTCCTCCTCCTCTTCCTCCTCTTCCTCATCCTCCTCTTCCTTTCCCCTCCTCCCTCACCCTGCCTGCGCATCACAACCTTGTTGTCACCTGTTTCGATGTGTTTCTTCGGCACGCCTTGAGCATCACCCGTGCTCCTTGGGTGTCGTGGTTCTTCACGGCCCCAGCTTGGGTTCCGGCTTTACTTGTACATTTGTACACTTCCCTTCGATGTCTCAGTTCCTAGGTTTTGCCGTTGTGTTTCGTTGCCCTTCTCTTCCCCTCCTCCTCCCTCTAATTCGTTTTGTGTGACTTTGTTCGGTCTCGTGCACCCCGTCCCCACGTATCGATTTATTCAACGGGAAACGGGAGGCTCCTTTCCCGCGTCGCTCAAGCTGATTTGGGAGTGGTTTGCCGGATTATGGCGCTCTCTTGTCCTCGCTCTTTCTTCTCGCCACAATCGGCACGTTTGATTCTTTCTCAGGCCACGGTTCAGCGCATGAGTTTGCCTATCGCAGGTTTGCTCGTTCCCGGCTTGCCTGGCGACCTTTTCATTCGCAAAACGATCGAAGCTGAGTCTGATGTAGTTTTGTGGCCGTTCCTCAAACACAGAACCCTACGTTCACCATTCAGCTTTTCCTGTGGGTAGCACGATGACTGGAGCCCGGTGAAGCCAAAGAACGCTCAAGCTGTGATGGCGCAGTTGTCTCCCTGCCTGGCCCGAGGACACCTCGAGAGGCCTCCGGGGTCGAGCCCCATCGGCTACAGCACGCGCACCACTTGCATGCACGCACGCACACCTGCCCACAGCAGATCCTGCAACACAGCGCGAGGAGGAGGAGGAGAAGGAGGGGGAGGAGGAGGACGAGGAGGAGGGGGAGGAGGAGGAGGCGGAGGAGTAATGGGTATGAAGGGGAGTGCGGGGAGGGTGAGGGCTGAGTGAGGGGGCGAAGAGGAGGAGGCGGATTCGGATTCGAGGAGGAGGAGGAGGAGGAGGAGGAGGAGGAGGTAGTAGGAGGAGGAGGAGGAGGAGGAGGAGGAGGAGGAGGAGGCGGCAGTGACTCTCCCTTCGAGCGTGCGAGCGCGTGCCCCCTTCGCGCCCGCTCGTGAAACCCCGCGACTCCCGGAGGGCTGGGCGCGCCTCCTCGCCGCTGCTGGGACCTGACAGGAGCCACACCGCCCCGCCCCGACGCGGAGGTTGTTGTTGCCACCGC